CACATTTTTACACAATTTTTCTACAGACCCCATAGCACTCTTTTGCAACCCCAGATTGAAAACAACTACTCTCAACATTTTTTAACAACATTTGTTGTAAAATTGTTTGTTGCTTCCTGAAAAATATTTATTTTTTTTTTTATTTTTTTTTTTCAAAACATTTAAATTGCACTGACTGTGTATCTTACATTTGTTAAATGTATTTAATTTAATTACTAAATAAAGATATACATTTAATAAATGTACATATGAATAATTAGATTAACTAGTCTTAGAATATAATTTTTTTTTTAATTAAATCAGATATTATGCATGTAAAATAAAGAAAAAATACTAATGCAGAAATGAGAATTTCTGTGACATTTTGGCCCCAAGCTTTGCTACATTTCTGACTATATACTAATAAACTCCTGCATGTCTTAAACTACTTTACAAATCGATCTCTCTCTAGTTTAATGCATGTTGGTAGCACTCACACGTTCTTGCTTTCCTCTTTGTCTGTGTATATTTCTGTCTATCTTTTATCCTACTCTTTTCTCTGACTTTCACCTTTATCTGTTTGATTGCTGTCATTTTTGTCTCTTTATCTTTGTCTTCTCCTGTCCCTTCTCTCTTGTCTTGTCGTCATGTTTCAAACGCTGCAGGACTGAGATGGAGTTGTATGCCAGTCTCCCGCGGAGGTACTCCACACTTCAAGCTCTGCTGTCTTGCTCTGCTGTCTTTGCTCATCTAATGTCTCATTCTGCTAAGATAACCTGTGCTCTTGAAACAGTGATGATTTTAGTGGACTGTTTTTAAGCTGACAAATTTCTGTTGTAATGTTTTTATAGTGTAATAATTTGTATTTAAAGCAATACTTCACCTAAAAATTTAAATTTACTGAAAATGTACTCACCCTCAGATCATCCAAGTTGTAGATGAGTTTGTTTCTTCATCAGAACAGATTTGGAGAAATGTAGCATTATATCACTTGCTCACCAATGGATGCTTGCACTGCTGCAAATGTTCATTTTTTGGGTGAACTATTCCTTTGAAACATTCCCATTTTTGAGGTCAAGAAACCTTTAAATGCAAATTAAAAATCTTTAGATGTAAATAATGTTAATCTAAAGGATGTTGCTTCATTACTATTCAGGAATTTTCAGAGGTTTCACAATACAACAACATGCAAACCTTCCAGATGTCCAAACCTTCCAAAAAAATCCCCCCTCATCTTCTCTCTTTCTTTTCTCTTTCAGCTCCAACAAGCGTAAATCCATTGATGACAGTGAGATGGAGAGCCCCGTGGACGAAGTCTTCTATTCGGGCCGTTCTCCTGCCCCGGGAGTGTCCCAGCCCAGCGGCTGGCCCAATGATGTTGATGCAGGTACGGCCGATTTACCCAGCAGCCCTCTGGCTCTTCACATGCTCTGCTTGACCTCCACTCATCTAGACCACTGCTGATGAAAAAAAAACATTTCTTTATATTGAGCTGCACCAATCAAAGTTTACATAGAGTAGTCAGAGTAGACGCCATACTTGTGCTGACAAAAAGACTTTGAGGGATAGATGTTTAATGTTAAACATGCTGCACGATTGTCTCTCGAAGCCTTGGTTTTTTTTGTTTTTGTCAAATGAAATATATCATCTACTCTGACTTACCTCTGAATCTATAATCAGATCCAATTGGGACTCATGTTTGAGTCATTTATGCACTGAATAAGTGGACACAAGGGCTGTGTGAAGGGCCAGACTTTTCCTTCCTTTTATCCATCAACCCATTAATCTCTCTCTTTTGCTCCCTCTCTCTCTTTTTTCTTCTCATACCTCAGTAGACTGCGAGAATAAATAAGACGGGGACAAACATTGGATAGTCTTGCGATCGGATAGCTAGAATCATGTGCATGTTAATTGATCTGTTAGTTGGGTTTGTTTGGGGCTCAGCTAAATTCAAATTTTAAGAGCACTTCAAATCATTCTTAATTCATGCGTGCAGGTGATGAGCTTCACAGAATTAGAGTTAAAGAAACATTTTATATGTAATAATTTATAGTTTACACTGAAATGTTATTTATAAAAGACCGTAAGCACTAAAGAATAGAAGTTTGATTAGATATTTCCTATATTTATGGTGTAGATTGCACTGATATTAATAGCAATTGAACAGTTTATCAACTTAAAATAGATGTGAAAGAGATGGAAATGAAATTATTTTCTTTGTAATATTTTCACAGATTTAGTTTTTTATTGCATTTTACCATATAAACCAGACCGTTTTACAACATCAATATACTTTTTGAGTAGTTTTACTTTAAATCTTCTTTCCTCTTTATAGTGCTGATTTTTATTAATTAAGACCTTTATTTGTATTATTCTGTATCAATTTCTTTTCTTTTTTATATTTTGACTGTCCATTAGAAATATTTACTATGGTAACCATATTGTCTGCCAAAAGCAAATGGGTTTGGACTTAATTCAAGCAGTGCAAGCTTTTTTGATGATGGTGATAGAAAATCCAAAATTACCACATAACTGGAGTCATTTTTGTGGAAACTATAGTTACCATGGTATCTTTTTTTGTAAGTGTGAAAAGGCAGCTTTGTTGTTGTGTTGCATGGGCAGAATGTGGTGATGAAATTCATTTTAACTTGAGCAGTGCTGCTGTCACATGACCTGTATCCTCACACCAGGGCCCAGTTGCATGAAAGCCCTTATGCTAAGAAATCCCTTAGTTATAAGGTTAAGGGAGCCCTTGGTGAAACTTGGGTTGCAAGAAAAATAACCTAAGGGTTAACTTAAGGAACCTTAAGGCTGCCATTAAGTATTCCCCTTAATTATTTAAGTGTTCCCTTAAGTGTTGCTACAAAGTCCTTGGTAACCATTTCACCTTAATAAATTTAAG